AGTCTATAGGCATAATTGTAGCTCTTCTAGATTTCTTGTAATTCGTAGACAAAATTGAAAAATGAAAAGCTAAGCTTCGAAAAAAGCAATGTCTGACATATTTACGGTATTGGATTGTTTGATATTAATTAATTATCCAAACAATGTTACAAATGTTTCAGATGAAGAAACTAAACTTTTTATTTGCATCTGCGTTTGAAATTTGTAGATCAAAGTGGAAATATGTTTCTCTCGTGTATCATGGATGATTACGTGCAGTGAATATCGGCGAATTGCGTATGAAAATTAATGCAGTGCAATAGTGTATCATTGTGCAATGGTACTTAGGTTAAATTTAATCAGTTCTGATTGGGCCTGAAGTGAGAAACAGTTTGCGGTGACGTGTGATTGTGTAATTGCGGTGCCGCGGCTTGGTTTCTGAGTGGATGGTTGCTCTCTATATGTATATATATATGTAACATGTATGGGTTATGCATTAGATAATTAATTACCTCATTATCGAAATGTAATTAAATTGAGGAGCTGGATGTTAGACACGCGGACGGACGAGACGATACAAGCAACATTGCATCTGACGCATGATTAATATAACGTGGCGGGAAATTTAAGCAGCCGCCATCCCCCTGGTTCTTAAGTGCCGTAATTACATTCAATTAGAGGTGTAAATCAGTTGGAAATGTCTGCGCTTAAAGTAAATGCGTCCCTAGCTTAGCGTTATCTTTCTAATGGCCATCGTTTCTGTTTCGGTTGCTGCTTCTGTTGCATCAACCAAAAAACATCCCCAATTCAGAAACGAGCAAATCATCCCCTCGTGTTCGTTCTCTCAATGCAAATTGGATCGATTAATCAATTTTGTTGAAACAATTATTGCACGGCCAGCTTTCACGCTAATTCAGCTGTTGATTTTAGCTGTGCGAATCGAAACGGACTAATTGATTCAGGTAACGCGTTCTACGTGCAAACGGCGGATTTCCATTAATAAATAACTCAGCTTTAATAAATTAATGCATTTACGATGCCCGTCGGCTCAACTTTCTTCCTTCTTGTTTTTTTTTTTAATTAAATTTAGTTTTGAGAAAGTTTCTTGCAGTAATTTCGCTGGATTAATTAAATTACGCCATGTTTGGACTCTCTGTGTAAAGCGCAAACTACGACTTCAAAACCAGTTCCAACATGTTTACATCGTGTAAACAAAAAATAAAATTCAAATTATATCAATATCTTAAAGAAGCATTATTTGAATGCGAATTATAAGAAATATGGAAGAGCTATATACCCTGAATATTTATCTTATATGTTCACTCAGGTGTTCCTGCATGTGTTTAATTGTTTTCTTAACTTTGCAGCTGCAAAATTGTAATTTAATAACAATAACATTAATTATTAATTTAATGAAATAAGAAAGAATCATATAACTAATCAATAAAACAATATTAAAAAATCAAAGTTAATTTAAAAATATATGAGAAATTTAGTTGAAATCTGTACATGTGAAGGTTTTGTTTTTTTGTAACGTTTATTATTTATTGGCAGATATTAATTAGAGTTGTTAGGACATTTTAATGATGTAATTAAATACTGAACACGCCAAGTAGCGAAGTTTAACGCATATCTTTCACTAAACGCCAAACATTAAACTTGCATGGAAATACTTGTTATACAATATCTAAATTATACACACATAAAAAAACAGTAATTTAACTCAGAAACGTTGTTTATTATCATACATTTATATTAATTTCAAACCTTTCATTACGAATTATGTAAGAAACGTTTCATATTTAATTACTTTATTTTATTTCAGAACACAAACAAAAATAAATTAAAGCTAAGAATAAAAATAAAACTTATAATAACTTCACTTGATTTTTGTTTGTTTCATACTTTTTTTTAATTGGAAATGTTGTATATTTCAATTAATGTTGATTATTTGACAAAATTGAGTGAATCAACTGATTTTCGTATATTTTTTATACGTAATTATAGCTTCAAACAACAGATTTTCATATTCGTTGCTGCTGGTTATGAAAGCTTCACACTTAGCGCAGAAACGCTTTGATCCATGCCTTTAATTATGTGGAATACTTTAATGATTATTATTTCCTACTTCGTATGCATATTTACTTTTTTTTTGTGTGTGTATAATCAAAGAACACTAATTGCTGCTGCTGCAGACGCGGCGAAATATTAATTCAGAATCTGTTTCGAATTTATAAAATCAAGCCTTCCCTTTTTCACCCCCTCACTCGAACTTATGTAAACGATGACGCGGAGTTAATAAAATCTCTTAATGATGATGATGATGGGTACGAAACTTCCGAGATTATTTATTCAGCGAAACGGAGTGCGAATCGTTAAGGGCAGGTAGTTGCAGGAAGGGTGGATGAAAAGGGAAGATGAAGGGCTTCGAGGAAAGAAGGAGTGGAAGTAATGATGATAATAATAATAATAAAACTAAACTCTTTGGCAACGGGGAGAACAACATTGGAATGCGGAGAGAAGGGCTGAAGTGTGCGCGCTACAAGGTAAAGAAGAAGAAGGGAGAGATGAGATTCCGGATGGATGAGAGTGAGAAGGAGAGAATATAAAGTCGATTGTTAGTCATTTAATGGAACGAGAGGTATTCCGTGCTTCTGCTGCTGCAATCGACTTTTTATGCAAATCCATCCCTCTTTGTGTGCGTTTCGGAGTGACTGAATGAGTGTAAGAGAGTGAGCAAAGGAACGGCAAAGAGAAAGAGAGAGAGAGAGAAACAGAGTGAGCCCTGGAGCTCGATCTGTAAACACTTGTAATGCGGCTGATTTGTATACCTACTCCAACTTTCGCAAACTGAATTTCAATTCCAGCGTTCCCTTTTCTTTCAGGAAAAACCGCAACCACAGAAATAATCACAATAAATGAAAAGGTCGAAAAGAATGTTGCGTTCTTTTTATTTTATTCTCTTTTTTTTCGCCTCTCTCCAAGGATAACAAGAAAAGAAAAGGGAGGCGAGAGAACCTAAATTAACAATTGAATACAATAGGAGTTACAGGGAAAAAAAGAGAAAGAAAGAGTGGAAGTTATATATATATATATAAACCTAAACCTACACGCGCATTGGGTTTTAATTCACTTAAGGGCTTTCGAACGCGAATAAATCTTCGTTTGGAATTTATGACGCGACTCATGAAATTGACACGTGAAGATCTGAAGATTTCATAAACTTTTTATTTTAGATTATAAGAGTTTCTTTGTAAATCTTCAATTATATTTTGCAAGTCATGTCTTTATTGATGATTTATATCAAAATTACTACAAATTCAGTATTTCCAATATGATAATTCGATCAGCTTTAGTTCATAAATATCAATAAATAAGTTTGAACTGATTTCAGTTTTTCAATTCGTATAATTCAATCAGTTTTAGTTTATCAAATATCAAAAAATGATTTAAGTTTTTCTTCGAAAAACCCTCAACCTCTTTTCCACCACCCTCTGGGTTCGGCAATACTGATGCCGTGTCGCTGCCCGATAAATCCCACAGTTGTTATATTTCAAACAGAATAGTAAAATATTCATATTATTATTTGCATGGCGTTATTAAATTACGTTTGATACGAAAAGTACGGTTTTGCGTATTACAGAAGATGTCTCACTTTCTGAGAAAATTCCAAAACGATATTTTATATAACCGATAGTTCCTTTCATCGTCAGATGATTATGGCGAAAAAAGAAAACAATATAAGGATTTATACATCTGTTGAAGAAGAAACGTAACATTTTTGAAGATTATTCAAATAACTATTACATATCAATAAATAAAATATCAAATTTTGTTATTTGTATTATAAATTGTCCGATTTGATCGAGACAGCCGAGAAATTTAATGCGATTATGGACATTGTTGACCTTGAAATTTAAACATTAGATTGCGCATGCGCTCAAATGACTAGAAAGTTTAAAATATTCTGGTTGAGAATCTTGAACTTTCAACTTTAAAATGAGTGTTAAATGATCTCTGATATGATTAAAGAGGCCGAGAAATTTATTGATTTAGTTCGTAATTGTGTACATATTTTTAGAATTAATTGCGCATCTGCTCGAATGACTACAAAGTTTAAAATAGATGCGTTAGAAATCTTGGACTATTGTCTTTAAAATGAGTCATAAATGACCTCTAAGTTGATTAAGATAGCCAAGAAATTTAACTTTGATCGTCGATGCATTCGAATGAGTAGAAATAGTTGTTAATTTGCAAATTTTTAATAATATTTAACAAAAATGTATATTTTTTTGATAATTATCAATAAATCAATATATTTATTAATTAATAGTTTATTTTTTTTCCATAAAGAAGATGTGATTTTCAATATATGTATGATTTTGGGTCTGAAATGTTTTATTGGAAAAATTTGTATTGGAAAAAATGTACTACAATGCGTTCAAAAGTAATGTTACTACGCAATTAATAGGACCGGCGTCTTTCTGCGATCAAAACTACTGTCTAGGGGAATCGTGTGAAGATCTGAACATTTCATAAACTTTTTATTTTAGAATATAATAGTTTCTTTGTAAATCTTCAATTATATTTTGCAAGTCATGTCGTTATTGATGATTTATATCAAAATTACTACAAATTCAGTATTTTCAATATGATAATTCGATCAGCTTTAGTTCATAAATAACAATAAATAATTTTGAACTGATTTCAGTTTTTCAATTCGTATAATTCAATCAGTTTTAGTTTATCAAATATCAAAAAATAAGTTCAAAAAGTGATTTAAGTTTTTCTTCAATTAATTTAATAAATCTAAGTTCAAAAGCGGTACAAACTATTTTATTCTCATTATTGATGTAAGTGCATGATGATATTGTATAATTGATTTAACTCATCTTTAACACATTAATTTTATTAAGATGAATCAATAAACGTCTTCTTCTATAATTGTTAATTGAATAATGAAAGATTGTAAACAAATATTATTAACTTAATGATATTTATTATCGAGAGCAAATTGTAGTTCAGAATTGAGGACCTCTTGTCAAGATGTCGATGGCTCCGTTAAGGTCACCCATGCTCCTCACCAGAGCGCTAAGATTAGCCTCCCGATTGGGAAAACCCATGGAGATGAGCTGCTCCAACTGACCAGAGTATCTCGCCTCCGGAGTGAGCACACCAAGACTATCCTCCTCGCCCATCGCGGGCATCTCGAACTGCAGCAGTGAAGGCAGATGGACGCGGAGATATTCCTGCATGTTGGGATCGGTGAACGTCGGATTATTGCTCAGGATGGCCTGCAGGAAATTGGGATCGCTGGCCAGCTCTCGCATAATCTGCTGTATCTGCGGATTGGCCAGCATTTGGGACATAAGCTCAGGCTGCGCCTGAGGCTGACCGCTGCTCGCATTCTGCTGCTGCTCCGAAGACCAAGGGTTTGGAAGCGGATTAGAGTTTAAGTTAGTCGTCGGCTGCGACGTCGCCGTCTGAGTTTCCCCCAACGCCTCCGGTGTCTCGAAGTCACTTATGTTATTATAAATCGATTGGAGAGCCGCAAAACCACCTGAAACCCAAGAAAATTTCATTAAGTCTTTCGTAATAAGTTTTCCTTTTTAAATCTTAGACCTGGCATATTCTCGATGTTCCTCAATGTTAAATCTTGATTGCGCAGGAATTCCTGCATCAAATTAGGATTGGTTGCCAACTGCAGGTATTCCCTCATTATGGTGGGATTGTTGATGGCGTGAGCGATCTCGGGGTTCTGCTCCAAGTACGTCTGCAATCTTGGATCCATCGCGATCAAAGTCCTCAAGTATTCGGGATTGTTGAGCAAGTTCGAGGTGAGGTCCTCGAAGGTGTTCCTAGATGGAGGCGGCGTCGTCGGTTGAGGAGAAATCGGCGGCGGCTGCGTCGGTCTCCTGATGACCAGATGAATTGCGAAGCCGTCTCGCACGTTCTGATCCTTCAGGGTGTTGTTGTCCTTGAGAGGACGACCGGCGTAGATCAGGCACAGTTGGTCCTCCTGCGCTTCGAATCGCTCCGCTATTTCCGGTTTGATCTCGGCCACGGTAGACATCAGCGGCACGTTAAATTCCTCGTTCCGCGAATGCGTCTTCACCATTATCCTTATCGAATCCTGCTGTTCCGTTGATGACATTACTAACATTTAGATGACTTTTAGGCGCGAGATAAAGTGACGTTTCACAACTAACATCCGCAGCCGCCTTCCGATAACGCCGCCCGCCTTTACAGATCGACGAACTTCACTATTGCAACTATCACAATTTCAAACTATCACACAAATATTCTCAATTACAAAGACATACATTTTCAGAGAAATCTAACAAACAAAATAATATACAAATACACTTCACTATGCGATTAATCAAATCATTAAGAAATTAATTCAAAAAATATGATTTAATAGATTTTAAAATTTATAGAAATTCTGTAACTTTTAATACTAAATCTCTAAATAATAAAATTGAACTAATTAGAAAAATATGACAAATATGTTGTATATTAGAAGAAAAAAGATTTTATATTGAGAAAATATATATTTATATAATAATAAAAATTCTAATGCTGAAAATAGTAGAAAATATTTTAAAATGATCACAATGAAGTTTGATTTTTTATTGTTGACCCGACGCATCCACAAATTTTCCAACCATTAAAATATTTCATTTCAACCAATTTCTTTAATTATTCTTAATATTTTACTTACAACTAGGAGGTTGCACGATACGAAGAACTATGCGAATATTTACCTAACTTTTTAAAGATTTATAGGAAATAATAATATCTGTGATAAGAAATACATGCGTTTATTTGAACATCTACGAGAACACCTGCGTTTCTATTAAACACCTGCGAAAAGAAATATCAGTCATTTATTGCGTGTATATCTTCGATAAAAAGTACGTGCGTTTATTTGAACATCTACGTGAACACCTGCGTTTTAATTGAACACCTACGTTTCTATTCAACACCTGTATTTCTATTGAACACCTGCGTTTCTATTGAACACCTGTGAAAAGAAACATCTGTGATTAATTGTATATCCTCGATAAGAAATACGTGCGTCTATTTGAACATCTGCGTGAACACCTGCGTTTTAATTGAACACCTGCGTTTTAATTGAACACCTGCGTTTCTATTCAACACCTCTATTTCTATTGAACACCTGCTAACATAAACATTTGTTATTTACTGAACACCTGCGTTTCTATTGAACACCTGCGAAAAGAAACATCTGTGATTAATTGTATATCTTCGTGTATATCTTCGATAAGAAATACGTGTGTCTATCTGAACATCTACGTGAACACCTGTGTTTCTATTCAACACCTGTATTTCTATTGAACACCTGTTAACATAAACATCTGTGTTTTACTGAACACCTGCGTTTCTATTGAACACCTGCGAAAAGAAACATCTGTGATTAATTGTATATCTTTGTGTATATCTTCGATAAGATATACGTGCGTCTATTTGAACATCTGCGTGAACACCTGCGTTTTAATTGAACACCTGCGTTTCTATTCAACACCTGTATTTCTATTGAACACCTGTGAACAGAAACATCTGTGTTTTACTGAACACCTGCGTTTGTATTGAACACCTGCGAAAAGAAACATTTGTGATTAATTGTATATCTTCGTGTATATCTTCGAGAAAAACACCTGCGTTTCTATTCAACACCTGTATTTCTATTGAACATCTGCGTGAACACCAGCATTTCAATTGAACACCTGCGTTTCTATTCAACACCTGTATTTCTATTGAACACCTGCGAACATAAACATCTGTGATTAATTCTATATCTTCGTGTTTATGTTTGATAAGAAATACGTGCGTCTATTTGAACATCTGCGTGAACACCTGCGTTTTAATTGAACACCTGCGTTTCTATTGAACACTGCCTGAACTGATTTTTACAAGTCGCTTGTGATATTATAACATTTTGAGATAAAACATGAATAATTGAAATACAATTAGAGTAATTATGAAAAATTACTTTTTCTATAAACAAAACTTATTGTATAATTAAATATATTTGGATAAATACAGCTGAAATAACTAAATAGAAAAAAAAATCAATTTTCATCAAATATTACTATTTTCTATTATTATTCGGTAAATAAATTAAAATCAAATATTATTTATTAATAGCATATTTAATTATGATATTGAATCCGCAATTAAAAGAACTTTTATTTATTTATAAATTAATATGAAACGCAATCATATTTATTAGCTCGTATTTAAAATTTATAGCTTCATTTCGATGAATTATATGAGCTTCCATTCAATAATTGCCCATTTTTTGTAAAAGTTATTACACACGATTATAATGAAATTTTAATTTCCACTGCACAATAACCATTTACTTTTTATTACATTTAACTTAACAAATTTATTTTTTTTTATTCAATTTTCGTATATAATTGTTTTATACACATTTTCCAAAATCAATTTTTTTTAATTAATTATAATATAGTGATTTGATCAAATATTGATTGCGTTTATTAATTAGCTTATTAGTATAAATCATTACAAAAATCGCGTGAAAACATTTCATTTTTTACTACATTTAGTTTCACAAATTATTAGTTTTTTTTTTCATTTTACTAAATATTTAAGTACGTACTTTTATACCAATTACTTGAATATAAATTTAATAATAATGTTAACATTTCAATAAAAATTATAGAAAAATTTACATTTCACAATAATTTAATTAATTGACTATTAAATATGTGCAAATATTCCAATTACTGAATATAATTGGTATATGAAATCATGATTAAAGCATGAATTGCGTAACTTATTTCCAATTCGATTAACGTTTATTTGTTTTTCTTTTCATCTTTTCCGTCTGGTTATGATGATTACATTCATCCGTTGCATAATCGCGGTGGCGTGCTGCGATTCCATTTTTCCTTTGCTCCATCTTGTTTGTGTGTTTCTTTTTTTTTGTCGTGGCATACTTATTTATGATTCCCCCTAAAATAAATATCGTGGAGCGTGATAAAGCCGTGGGGGGTGCTGCTGCTGCCTCGCTATAACGTTGAATGTAACGACATTGTGTGCTGCTGCAGCGACTCGTCTAAAATTAATGTTACCCGAAAAACCCTCAACCTCTCTTCCACCACCCTCTGGGTTCGGCAATACTGATGCCGTGTCGCTGCCCGATAAATCCCACCGTCGTTATATTTCAAACAGAATATGAAAATATTCATATTAATATTTGCATGGCGTTATTAAATTACGTTTGATACGAAAAGTACGGTTTTGCGCATTACAGAAGATGTCTCACTTTCTGAGAAAATTCCAAAACTATATTTTATATAACCGATAGTTCCTTTCATCGTCAGATCTTTATGGCGAAAGAAGAAAACAATATAAGGATTTATACATCTGTTGAAGAAGAAACGTAACATTTTTGAAGATTATGCAAATAACTGTTACATATCATTAAATAAAATATAAAATTTTGTTATTTGTATCATAAATTATGTCCGATTTGATCGAGACAGCCGAGAAATTTAATGCGATTATGGACATTGTTGACCTTGAAATTTAAACATTAGATTGCGCATGCGCTCAAATGACTAGAAAGTTTAAAATAGGATGGTTGAGAAGCTTGAACTTTCAACTTTAAAATGAATGTTAAATGATCTTTGATATGATTAAAGAGGCCGAGAAACTTATTGATTTAGTTTGTAATTACGTACATATTTTTAGAATTAATTACGCATCTGATCGAATGACTACAAAGCTTAAAATAGATGCGTTAGAAAGCTTGGACTTTCATCTTTAAATTGAGTCGTAAATGACCTCTAAGTTGATTAAGACAGCCAAGAAATTTAACTTCGATCGTCGATGCATTCGAATGGGTAGAAATAGTTGCTAATTTGCAAAAAAAAATAATATTATTGAACAAAAATGTATATTTTTTTGATAATTATCAATAAATCAATATATTTATTAATTAATAGTTTGTTTTTTTTAATAAAAAAAGATGTGATTTTCAATATATGTATGATTTTGGGTCTGAAATGTTTGTATTTGCAAAAGAAAAATTGTAAATCAATATTGATCTAAGTTATCTTTATTCGTGGTCAAGAGAGAACTGGTTGAAACAGAGTAAAGGAAACATGAGAGGAAGAAACAAGGGGAGAAAAATATATAATAATAAAAAAAATACGCAATTCCTCCTGGAAAATTGGGAAAGTTTTTAACTCATTTAGTGGGCGCGTACGGATGGCTTTCCAAATCAAATAAGAAGGAAATAAAATAAAATATCTATCCTGGAAACAGTAGAAGTGAATATCATAAAAGCTTTTTCCCTAAAAGTTGCCCTTCTTGTTCGTGTGTGGATCGAGAGAAATCCCTTTGGTATTCTCCTCCTCTGACACGTGCAATATTTAAAATAGAGGGTCGGAAATAAATATGGAACTGAATTGGATCTTAAGGAGTGTCATGGGTTGAGGTATGCACCGAGTGATTGCATACAGGAGGGAGAGGACTCTCTCTCTTCTTCCAGGAAAAGACCACTTCAGAGCCAATTCCACGGGTATTTGTTTATGGGACGCTGTTGTTCTTCTTGTTGCTTTTAAAAGCAAATAGGAATACAATGCAGACGGTCTTTGAGATTTCAATAAGTTTCGAGAGGTAGAGAGAACTAGAGCGATGCGGATGAGAACGAGAGAGATGAGGATGAGAAAGAGGAAGAGCAATGCAAATAACTTTCCACCCCTTTTCAGTTTTAAAACAAATACTTTGCCAAATCTCGAAGCAATTTAGTTACAAAAAGATAATCTTGATTTAGGGCTCTCTCCTTCTTTCCGCTTCGCATCTTTCATCCATCCTAATGGAAGTGTTTTTAGACACAATACTTCTCTTACTCGATCTTATTATTGCTTCACGAAACTTTCAGTTTACAAAAAGTATTATTTTTATAAAGAATGTTAATGATGTCAAAACAATTCCAAATAAATTAATTTACAAAATGGATTATTAATAAGTAGAAGTTATTTAGATTATCTTCAGCTAATCCTCAAATCCAGAAACTTTAATTAGTTTTAAAATTCTTTATTAATCTAATTACATACATTAAATTTTTTTTATTTCATATTGGATTCTTGTAATTTATTCATTTTGAATAAATTTGGTCAATTCTTAATAGATTTTAGTAATTTTGCTCATTTCTCAATGGATTTTACTAATCTTAATGTTCGTCATTTCTCAATGGCTTTTCGTAGTTCACTTTTAATTTTGATCATTTCTAAATAGATTTTTGTCTTTTATTTCTCAATTTTGGTCATTTTTCAATAGATTTTACTAATTTTAAAATTAGTCAGTCATTCATATCCAAATTTTCGTTATTTTCAAATGAATTTTCCTAATTTTAATTTTGATTATTTTTAAAAAGATTTTTCTCATTCATTTCTAAATTTTGGTTATTTTTCAATTGATTTTATCTACTAATGTTTGTCATTGGATCAATGGATTTTCGTCATTCATTTCTAAATTTTGTAAGTTTAAACGGATTTTTGTAATTATAATTCATTCATTTTTAAATTTTGTTTATGTTTAAACATATTTTAGTAGTTTTAATCACTTTTAATTTTGATCATTTCCAAATAGAATTTCGTCATAAATTTCTAAATTTTGGATATTTTTCAATGGACTTATCAATTTGGATCATTTTTAAATAGAATTTTGTCATTAATTTCTTAATTTTGATCATCTTTCAATAGATTTTACTAATTTTAATGTCGCTCATTTGTCAATGAATTTTCTTAATTTATTTCAACATGTTCGTCACTTTTTAATAGATTTTAGTAATTTTAATCACTTCTAAATAGATTTTTTGTTAAACATTCCTATTTTTTGGTTTTTCCTCAATGGTTTTTACTAATCTTAATATTGTGTTCATTTCACAATGGATTTTTTGTCATTCATTTCTAAATTTTGTAAGTTTTCAATGGATTTTTGTTATTATAATTCATTCATTTTTAAATTTTGGACATTTTAGTAATTTTAATCACTTTTAATCATTTTGATCATTTCTAAATAGAATTTTGTCATTAATTTGTAAATTTTGGATATTTTTCAATGGTTTTTTAATTTGGATCATTTTTAAATAGATTTTTGTCATTCATTTCTTAATTTTAATAATCTTTCAACAGTTTTGCTAATTTTAATTTCGCGCATTTCTCAATGAATTTTCTTAATTTATTTCAACACTTCTAAATAAATTTTTTGTTAAACATTCCTATTTTTGGTTATTTCTCAATGGATTTTACTAATTTTTGAAATTTATTTCTAGAATTCCTATGTTTTCAACGAATTTCCATAATTTTACTTTTAGTCACTTTTCAATGGATTTTAGTAACTTCTCAGTGCAATTTTGTGATTCGTTTACAAATTTTCGTTATTTTTAAATGCATTTTCATCATTTCTGAAAATATTTTCCTCATTCTCTAAATTTTTATTAATTTTGTAATTGCAATTTTAATAACTTTTTCAAACAGATTTTTATCATTCATTCCTCAATTTTGGTCATTTTTCAATTGATTTTACTAATTCTAAAATTAGTCAGTTCTCAATGGATTTTTGTCATTCATTTCCAAATTTTTCTTTATTTTTAAATGAATTTTTGTAATTTTGATTATTTCTAAAAAGATTTTACTAATCTTAATGTTTGTCATTGGATCAATGGACTTTCGTCATTAATTTCTAAATTTTGTAAGTTTTCAAACGATTTTAATAATTATAATTCATTAATTTTTAAATTTTAGCAAATTTTTAAATAGATTTTCATAATTTCATTAATTTATGTATATGATCATAAATTCATTATTTGCTGATTATAGAATTTAATCAATATTAAGGATTTTTTTGGTTGTAGATATGAGGTGAAAATAATAGTTACATAATTTGGAGGTTGAAACACTCCGGCCCCGAAAAATCGACCGGAGCAGCCGCCGCGGGGGGTCATTGAGCCGCCGTATGAATATTCCATGAGTTGTATCTGCTTTATTTAATCTGCAGATATAAATCTTTTACGAGACTTTATGGAAACTTTAACGCTCTGAAACATAATTGAACTTTTCACATATTTCAGTAATGGCTAATAAATAAATGTCGGTCGGAGAGTGCCTATTTTCCTCCCTCAACGTAACGCCAGGAAATATGAACTACCACCCACCTACCTACTTTAAAGGAGTTACGAAACGACCATCTTACAGCATCGTAATTATTCCATTAAGAACATCATAAATGATCGATAAATTACTTACACTTTTTTCGCGTAATTGGATCAAAAGTTTTAATATTTCACATTTTATTTATTAATAAGTTAATTAAGTTTTCTTTCAAGCATATCAGCGTTTGAAATATCGAATTTTTAATGTACGTTAATTAAGTAAACTTCTTGCTTTTAATAATTTAATAAATAATTTTGAAATTCATATTTTTAATATTAGTAAAAATCGAATAAGTTTTCTTTCGAAGAAAATCTCGAATAATTACAAAAAAAAGTTATTAAAACTTATGGAATTAATTTATAATACGGGAGTACCTCAAGGTAATGTTTTGTGTCCTTCTTTTGAGTAAATATTTCAGATTTTATTTATTTTTTTTTATGAATGAACAATGAACTATGAAATGTATAATCATGACTATAAAGAGCAGTAAATCCGTTGCCAAATGCGAACTAATTCTGTCCAAAATCGATTGTTGATTAATATTGGACGACGCTGAACAAAAAAATCGTGTGTGTATGAACTTTATGGGTTGTTTAATTAAAAGCTGCATGTGAACTTTCCGAATGACATTTAAAACAAAAAAAGGCGGTGGCTCTGATGTGAAAACTACACCAACCAAACCAAAAAAAGAACGCAAAGTGCTTTAAACAATCAGTAATTGCAACATTTTTATCGCTTTCACGGTAATTCCGGTGAGCTTTTACCCGCTTTTCCGGGTTTCCACGACAGGTGCAGCGATAACGTCACCTCGCGCCGTCGCGTTTCCATTGTCGATGATGATGATAATCATGCTTTTGTGCATATTTCACAAGTCTGTCACCGATGACAGACGTGTAACTTGATGCGCGCGGAGAATTTGAAAAATTGTTTTTTTGTGCGCGTGCTTTTTCAATGAAAGCCGACCGCTAATTGAAGTAAACCCATTAAATGTTTGCATCCGAATTGGTGGACGGAGAGGATAAAAGTTGTAGCAACAACGTGAATAATATAGAGAAAGAGAAGTAATTTGAAAAAGTAGTAAACCATCTGGCCCTAAAATGAACTTGCGTGTTTTTAATGGACCGCCAGAATGTGTACAAACAAGCGCGGCAGGGTTCTCCCGGATTATACGTTTATTAAAGCCTATATATACAATGTATCTAAATATAAATACACAAGTACGTAGTGTGTACGAGCTTGTTGAATCGATATTGGTTTGGGAGCAGTTAACGGAATCCGCTGGCTCCGAAATAGAAAGTTATATTTCATTGTACCAGAAGGGTAGGATGGATGATCGAGGGTGGCGCGTGGTCGTAAAATATTATCGGGAAATTAGGGCCCAAAGAAATCGTGTATTTATATATATTATATATTACATATATATCTAGAGAGAAGGAGAGGTTTTAGTGTTGCGGTGTTGGGGCGAGTATCGATTTGTAATTTCGGGTCCGGTTCAAGTTTGAGTGTTAAGCCGGAATTATATCGGAAAGCACTCGAATACTGTGTTTTTGGGGGGTGGCTTACAAGGCGCTTACCAAGGGTGGAGGATGTGGAGGGCAGTTCGAACTCGAATTCTCTCGCATTGTAACACGCTTTGACCGCACAGAAACTGATTTTATTGGTGGGACCTAAAGATTAGGCTCGTTAAACGGAAAGAAAAATATATATGTTTTCGGATATCTTTTAGGTATTGCTTTTTATTGTGATTGCATTTTTCTTATGTCAGAGTACAAGATACATTTAACGGATGACCATTGGTGGGATTGGACGAACTGGCTTGTGTGGCAACAGTTCAGTGGAGATTTCCAATTCTGGAACGGCTGGACGAAGTTCTGGACGTAGTGGCAACAGTTCAGTGGAGATTTCCAATTCTGGAACGGCTGGACGAAGTTCTGGACGTTGTGGCAACAGTTCAGTGGAGATTTCCAATTCTGGAAGAGCTGGAAGAACTTGTGGTCTTGGAAGAGTTGGGAGAACCTGTGGCTTTGGTGGAAGTGGACGAGTTTGTGGCCTGTTGCATCCTGGTTCTTGTGGGAAAACGACTTCTGGAAGAGGCATTGGGCGAAGCTCTGGAATCACAATCTCTGGGGTGATGATTTCAGGAGTTGGACGCTCGAATTCTGGCAGACTTGGGAGGACACCAATCTCTGGCCTTTGTGGCAAAGGCAATGGACGAAGCTCAGGAATAACAACTTCTGGAAGAGGCATTGGACGAAGCTCAGGGATCACTACTTCTGGAGTGATGATTTCAGGAGTTGGACGTTCGAATTCTGGCAGACTTGGGAGGACACCAATCTCTGGCCTTTGTGGCAATGGCAATGGGCGAAGCTCTGGTTTGGCACATCCTTGTGGAATTGGAAGAACCGGCTGAATCGGCAGAATCTGAGGTACAGATGGAAGCAATTCGGTGGAAATCTTCGGGATGTCACGAGTCAAGACATAGCAGTTAGCACCTAAAAAAATATGAAAATATTACATAAAAATAATAATTAATCACAAATTTAAGAAATAACTTACCAGTCAAGCACAAGAGTGCTACAAGAGCGAATTTGGTAACCATGTTTGCTTTGAACGCACAAACTTGGTATGATCCTATCCTCGAATCCACCCAATATTTATACTCAGCGTTTATCTTATCGTAATCCCAAATAGGTAATTGTCTTTATTGGTTTCGGATTAAGAAATTACGCGTTTTATTGAGGAAATCCTAAAACTATAATTATTTAAACCAACCAACAAAAAAATGATAATTCAAATAATCTAACAGTTTACAATAAAAAAATCCGTTGCGCGTTTACTAGATTCAAGATAATCCGTTAAACTACATCTATTTAGATATGGACTAAATTTACTAAATATTCATTCAATTTTTTTAAATTTTACTATGAAGGAATTTGCATATCAAGCAACGCCTTCTGAATATTCGATAACCTTAAGCCATTCGGAAAAATCGATGAAAAGCAACAAGTAAAACCGAACACTATATTTTGGTCACACTTATAATGTATACACTTATGAACGTGCATGACAATCATTAACATAATTGTGCAAAACAAGGTCCAATAAATTGATGAAATTTTTGATGAAATTCCTTCGTATTCGAGTGAATGAGTTTGTTAAACCATAATTATAATAATTCACGTCAAAAAGAAATAAAAAAAAAAAGTTTTAATAATAATATTTATTGTAACAATAAATTACCAAAATATAAACTCAATACAATAATATAGTAACAAACATTAAATTAAATTAAACTGCTGCAAAAGGTGAAAGAAATTATTGTTCTAATTACAAGAAACGAAACTTATTTCTTGTAATAAAACACGAAAACAAATAACAGTTTTAATAAAATAATTTAATTAAATTTGATCTATATAAACGCTTAATTTGTATGCTTTTAAGAGGCGGAAGCTTCAACTTTCTCTATATAAATAGTTATAAACTTGAAACTTTCGTTGAACTTCCAAAAGTTTCAGAATTTGTCAATATTAGTTTTCGTTTGAGAATTTCAGTTCACGAGAAACGCTATAAAATAATTTACTTTCATTATATTAGGAAAGAAATTATGCATGAAAGTTATTGATGTTTTTAAATTATTTCAATAAAAACGATAACATCAAAATAATTTAAGTATTAATTTTTAATTATTATTCACAATTAAGAGTTTATGAGTAAGTGATAAATGATTGATTGAAATATCGATAAATTTATTTAATTTAAAGAAAAAATGATAATTTTCAATTTTAAATGCAATTTATTTCATGTAATATACAGAATTATAAGTCATGTTTAACGGACGAGCATTGCTGGGATTGGACGAGATGGAATGTATGGCAACAATTCTGGAACGGCTGGACGAAGTTCTGGACGTTGTGGCAACAGTTCAGTGGAGATTTCCAATTCTGGAACGGCTGGACGAAGTTCTGGATGTTGTGGCAACAATTCAGTAGAGATTTCCAATTCTGGAACGGCTGGACGAAGTTCTGGATGTTGTGGCAACAGTTCAGTGGAGATTTCCAATTCTGGAATAGCTGGAAGAACCTGTGGTCTTGGGAAGGCTGGAAGAACTTGAGGTCCTGGGAAAGATGGGATAATTTGTGGCCTGTTGCATCCTGGTTCTTGTGGAATGACGACTTCTGGAAGAGGCATTGGGCGAAGCTCTGGGATCACAATCTCTGGAGTGATGATTTCAGGAGTTGGACGTTCGAATTCTGGCAAACTTGGGAGGACACCAATCTCTGGCCTTTGTGGCAAAGGCAATGGACGAAGCTCTGGGATGACGACTTCTGGAAGAGGCATTGGGCGAAGCTCTGGGATCACAACTTCTGGAAGAGGCATTGGGCGAAGCTCTGGGATCACGATTTCTGGGGTGATGATCTCTGGAGTTGGACGCTCGAATTCTGGCAAACTTGGGAGGACACCAATCTCTGGCCTCTGTGGCAAAGGCAATGGACGAAGCTCTGGGATGACAACTTCTGGAAGAGGCATTGGGCGAAGCTCAGGGATGACGACTTCTGGTAGAGGCATTGGGCGAAGCTCTGGTTTAGCACATCCTTGTGGAATTGGAAGAACCGGTTGAATCGGCTGAATCTGAGGTACAGATGGCAGTAATTCAGTAGAAATCTTCGGGATGTCACGGGTCAAAACGTAGCAGTTAGCACCTGAATATTAACAATAGTAATTAAAAAAAACTAAATTTTGTTACAATTATTTTACCAGTAAGGCACAAAAGTGCAACTAAAGCAAATTTGGTAACCATGGTTGTTGTTTAGAACTCACAACTTAGTATGATTCGTCTCAGCGATTCCCTCAATATTTATACCAAAACTCCTTATCTTATCGTAATCAAAAAACATCATCTTTATTGAATTCGGCTTAAGAACTTTTCCATCGCAATCTAAATTGCTACCAATTTATAAAAAAATAGAATTAGAAAAATGTTTTTAATAGATACAGTAATTAATACAGATGTTTGGGTCTTTGCAAGAAGAGAAATCTGTGGTAAATTTAGTGATGCCGTCGAATGAAAATTGCATTTCGAAGTCGGTCCTTCTCCACTCGGCAACACACACACGTCCCTCATTCATTATGCACCTTCACGCGGATGAATATTTCATTACGTCTAAGGACACAAAAATCCTTCCACTTCCTTTTTTTTTTTGTCCTCTCCTCTTCTTTTCCATCGCCCGGAGGTTCACTGGGATAGTGACCTATTCGCTAAATTATTATGGATAAAGTATAAATTTATATGCTAAATATATGCGGACCGAAATGAGGTGGATGCAGGCAAAATAACGTTGATTCATGGCCCATGAATACACGTTTTTACGTCGCAACTTTTTCCCATCTTTCCGCAGTCTTTATTTCACATTTTTTTCTCTCTCTTGCATCCTTCTGAATATTGCGCACTAGGTGTTTCGCTTTATGCCCTTATTACACCACGAGGACCTCTCTCAACTCCTTTTTTCTCTCCTGATTAAAGCACATTCTCCTCGCTGCAGCATCATAGGAATAATCGCAACCTTTGATTAAAGAAGTTAAGATAATTTTTTCCAATTCGATTTCATTTCAGTTTACACATTTTTTTTGTCGTCTCTTTTCGGTCGTTGGGATTAACTTGGCCGGATGGGATTTCAATTAATCCACCCTCACCAACACAAATTAATTGTCTCGTCCGCAGATTGCCACCAGACCTTCCAATTACCTTCTCCGCTCTCTCTCTCAATCTCATCCCTCTCTTCACTGGAAATCTCCTTCAACGGTTTCGTTCCATGTCGCCGCAACAAAATCCCTTTTAATTTTATTCCCTTCTCCTTCTTCTACTATAATTTTTTTTCCTTCTTTTCCTCTTCTCGCTGATGATTGAATCCAACCCCCATCCAAAATAAACAAACGAACTAACAAACAAAAAAATCCCATTTGTTTCCATTCATGGCGCTTATTATTCTCATTCAAATACCCCGAAGCATCAGCGGAGACAGCACATTGTGCCACCACCAATTTTTTTTGTTTCGCATTCATTTTTTCATCATCGTCGCTCGTTACATCCAGATCCTCGATTTATTTTAATGAAATTTATAGGACTGTTTTAATCATATTCCCGTCCCGTTTTTTTTTTTGGAAAAGTTTATTATGGTTGGATGTCAGTTACCCGTCCGCGGCTTTTGATTGATCTATATTGGAAAAGTTTGATGTATATCGGGGGTGGCGGCGGCTGCGACTGGGGAGGGCAAAAAGAGACAGATATGATGGGAAAAATTGCGTTGCGTTGAAAGTATGATGTAAAAGGGAGAGAGAGTGAGCAGACAAAAGGTTATTTTGTGAATTGTTTGCGCGAAATAACTGATGGTGAGATTACGGTTTTTTTTTTCTTGGTGGAAATAAAAACGAGAGGATCCTGATGAAAATAGGGGGGAAGGGATGGATTTGATTATTTCCTAGAGCCTTTTTCATGATGTATTTCATGCAATACCGAGGAAACGTTTCAAAGGCGTCAACCTCCTTCATCCCTCTTCTTTCTTTCGCAAAATGCAATAAGGAGGCGATGAAACAAAGGGATAAAGATGAAAATATCAATCGATTAAGACATATACAACAAAATAACACAATAGAAAAGAAACGTTACACTTTTATCCACTAAAAAATATCAATCAATTTTTACCTGATTATTACCTGATGTATTTATGTTAATTATATAACATTTCACCGAGGAAACGTTTCAAAGGCGTCGTTCTCCTTCATCTCTTTTTTTTCTATTACATATTGTAACATAGAAACAAAGGGATGAAAGATGAAAAACTCAATTAATTAAAACATGAAAATAATACTGGAAACGAAATTTTATACGTTTATCTATAATTAAATGATCCAAATTTTACCTGCATTTAATAATAGTCATATATTTAATTTTAATAGTTACAAAACTTTTCATTTTCAACTTTTAGTTTTAACAAAATATAACAAAATATAA